AGTTAAGAAGTGATAGGCCCGACCCCGAGAAGTGCTCAAACAGACATTTTGAGATTTACGATGGAAATTGTTTTTATTTCTAAATGGTTGCTATTAGTGATTTTTGCTATTAGTTCGAAAGATATAATTATCCCTGAATTTGTTATAATTCGTTCTTATGGCACATATTATGTCTATGACATTAAAAGTTTTTATTGATATTTTGTGTTTTTATTTTTTTTTTTGTTATAACAACGCCCATTTCTATGCAGTTATGTCTCCCAAAAAAATAACTTTAACGGGCTGAGAAGTGCACAAGTTTAGCTTGTACTAATATAATATAATATTTATATATGATTATATTCATAAAATATTAATACACAAATATGAAAAATAAAATCATAATAATACTATTATCCTTCTAAGGATTTAATAAATATAAAATTTGTATTTTAATTGAATTCAAATAGGAATACTATAGGTATAAGACTTTAACTCATAGATTATTATAAGAGGGACTCTGGTTATAACTGTATCTAATTATTAATTATAAAATATTAAATAAACACGAACAAAGAAATTGATAGGTGTATAGGTAATTCATGTGTTTAGAAACTTTTTTAAGTATGTTTATACGAATTTTATGTAATTTGTATAATATACAAGGTATATAAAAAATATTTCAATAAAACTTCTACTTCAGATTTAAATTAAAATTATTTATTCATAAAAATTAAATATTAAAATAAATTTCATGAAGCGTTAGGACCCTATGTGTAATCATATTTTTTGAGTATACGAATTCCATAAAAATAAAAATKTTTGACTTTGAAGCGATACTTTATTAGTATATTTGAATGTATTCGTCATTTTTGAATGACGTATATATTCTACATCGTTTAGTCACAGGGTTGATTGATTAATCAGCTTGTACAAGTGTATACAACACATAATTTTCGATTTATTTTAGAAATCAGTTTACCGTGAACAGTTCTATAGTAGATGCTTAAATGTTTTATAGTAGTACGCCAATGTATATAATGACTAATGGTGTTTACATTACTCTCACCCTGCCACTTTTTATATGTGTAAAGCAACMCACCACCACCCGTATTTGGTTGATTCGCTGAATATATATATTATATTATATTATATACGATTACGATTACGATTCTAGTAGTAGGTATACTTATTCTTTTCYATAATTCTAGAAGCAACATATATGATATACTGCAGGAATATTATATATATATATATGATATATGATATATATATCATTCCCATTTCCGATTTTTCGGGACATGACAGAAAGTTACGCTTGGAACAATCTCAGTATATATATAATACACTGTACGTATATAATTGTATATATGTATAGTATACTTTCAACGTTATAACTTAAATACATTCGGTCTTCAAAGTTATGGATCACAGTATTTTWAAAAAAAAAATACAATGGCTTAACAGTCCCGAGTTTTTCACCGAGAGATGAGCTATTRAATAAATGTAAAGCGATAAAATACTCAATGCAGCGTATTATATCGAATCAAATATAATATAATGACGTGTCAATTTATCTTTCGGTGTCAATCGTTACCGTAGAAGGTTCGGTTTTTGTAATTGTTTATAATTTTCTCAGTACATTTTATTCACATTATTGTTATTATACAGAGAAAATTATTTCGAATAAACATGTCATTTTTGTTTAATTCAAACACTATATTTAGTAATTAGAGAAGCTATTTGTTTAAAAATTGATATCAAGAATTCGAGAAACCATGAAATTATTGTTTGTATATGTATATATTAGCACCAGACCATTATAGCTCTVCAATTATAACAATTGAAATAAATTACACTTTTGACGATGTTTAGATTTTTATGAAATTTATACTAAATAAATATATTCACTTCTATAATATTATTATTTATTATGTACTAAGATGACTCTAAAAATGCAGAGCAAAATTAAATTCAATTCTGTATTTGGAGCAGAGAACATGTGAATTATTTAGATGATTAAAATAAATAATAATTTAAAATATGTGTGTATCATTATTAATAATAATATATTTATATATATATATATTATTAATGCGTGTTTCCAATCCTATCACGTTCGTGTCGAAATATATCGGAAAACCGAAAAATGTATAAAATATAATATAATAATACCATAATATATTACAATTTCAACGTGTTTCCATTTTAGAAACGAATCGAAATCAAATAAATATTCGAGTAAACGATTTGTTCAATTTGCATTTAACGCATTTGCATRTGTTACACGCTTAGGTGCATCCAGGATGCATGGTTATGGAAATACAGGAGGTTTCCAGAATATTAATATATTATGGTTTTTTTTTATATAAATTATTTGTGTAAGCGAATTAAGTTAACCGGAAGATTGAGGAGAATCTGTCATCAGCCACCTTACCCGATGGATACGACRCAGAATGTGTAATATGAATATCATTCATAGGTGTAGATAATATATTATATAGAGTATATACACATAACATATAATTGAATACAACAAATATGGTGTTTGGATAAGTAATACGTATACGAATACGACAACGACGATGATAAAAAATAAATGAATTTTATTTACCTTGAGGGGGCTTAGCCCGATCCGAAACGCTTCGTCTCCGGTACAAGTTTGACAGCCGAGGAACGAACTGGTCGTCGAACAGGAGCAAAACCACAGGCCAAAGACATGCCTCGGCCAACGCCGCTAGCATTGGTAAATTTTTTATCACAGGAGCGTAATCGGCAGAAAACACAAACTTTGAAGGTATGAAATGTTCGGAAGCCATCAGCACCTGTAACGCATCGAATTTCTCCGTTAGAATGATCGATTGCAGTTAATATAATATATTATGATACCCTAGATAATATATAACGTATATTATATGTATAGATATAAAAAATTATAAGTGGGCTGGGATGGCATACAATATTATAACTCATAATAATTGTATTTCATTTACAATACATTTGAACATTATATGCGTTTAAATATAGTTATGATATTATTAGGTATAATATTGCGTTGTTATTCATTTTATATAACTTCACTTATACCTAACAATTAGTTTCTATCAAAACCCTACCYCTAAGTTGTAATAGGAATTTTATAAAATTAATTTTAAAACTTTATATCACTTACTCAAATTGATATCAATTATTTTAAAAATGTTTGATAGAATTCATTGTATTGGAAAAATAGTGCCCTCTACAAAGTTCGAAATGTTCGTTTAATATCACGCGCACTAGCTGTGTATTCATGATATACTATCTATTCATAACTTAAAGCTAAAAATAATAGTTACTATTTCATTTAAAATATAGTCCTTAAAAGAAGAATTGTGTAATTTACGAAATGAATTCTTCATGTTATAATTGATGTCAATTACTATGTCAATTCGAGGCCTTTTCAAGACTGTAGTGGGTACAATTTGATACGCCACGCTGTATCCAAGGCCCTTGTGCAATATGTATAGGTACACACCCTGCTTACGCCTAGTTTTTACAGCAATGATTAGTATTCACTGATAAAATTCAACTTATACATATATATATATATATAATGTCTTTGTATTAATTAGACAAATTATTAAAATGTTTTTTTTTTTCATTATATAATACCTACCATAATACCATATTATGGCAGCAGTAATGACATTGTAAAGCCGAGAAACGTAATTTTATGAAAGTACCAGTCTATTGTCGTTAATTAGGTTTTTATTTTTAGTTTAATATAGTAACTTAAATGTTGTGAAAAAGTAATGAATATCTCAAAATTTGGACCAATATAAACAATACCACTATTCATTATTAGCAATCATAATATTTGGCATTTGCATACTTAAATCCTGTTAAATAAAAATAAAAATAAAAATCATTTCTATTTATTTAAAAAATKTTCTATTTAAAAACCTTTTAATGAAAACCCTTAATATGCCCAGAATATCAATAAAAAATCTTATATTTTTGTTATTCTTTTTGACACAATGAAGTAGTAAGTATTAAATAACAACAACAAAAACATAGTTGTAAATAATATTCATGGCTGCGTAATTTAAAAATCAAATAATATTATCATTTATTATACATTGTGGTTTTTGTTTCGCTAAACGTGAAATTCAAATAAACCACAATAATAACATAGTTATGAAATTCCTACAATTTATATTATAATGTAGTATATTTTCTTATACTTCAAAGACGATATTATCGACAATAATTTGATTATAATATATTACAATATATCACGCRTCCCGAAGTATWATTAGCAAAAAAGTTTTAAAAAATTGTTCAACAAACAGGTAAAAAAAAAATAACACTATTAATATACATTTCAAAACAAAATAGGCATAATCCATATTGTATAATATAGCGAAAGCTAACAGGGGTTAAGTACTTATCATTTATCAACATAATAATATAATATTGTGCATGATTTATTAATAATATATAATTTAATATATAAGAAATGTAATAGTGCATAAACATGTATTTATGTACTTTTATACTACATCATAGCAATATTACAAACGCCGTTTGCCGTTTGCTACACAGATATTCGGCATTTTAGCCATCCATAAAATGTGTAATATTATATATTATAGTTTTATAAATGATTTTGAAAATAGTTTTCCGACCGTCTTGCTGCAGCGACGACCCGTTGAGATTTGATTTATGATATTTTATTCTCATACTATTACATTAAGCGCCTAAGTACAGAATACTGTATATCATATAAGTATAATATACACAATAATATGAAACGCAACTATTATTATTATTATTATAAAAAAAATTGTTTTTGATAACATCACGTGCATATCTACCGTTTGATGCTGCTGTTGCAGCAACGCAACTATTATACGCATACTCACGAACATTTATTTTATATTATATATTATAATAGGTATAGGTATGTATACACAGTAAATTGCCTCCTATTAAAATATTAAACGTTTTCTTTCCACGGGCCACGTATGTGTGCCGCGTCTATCTGTCTAAATATGCCGCCGAATTACCATTTATTATTTTTTAAATGTATTAATATCTTTCTCTCTGTCTTACTCTCTCTTTCTCCYCCTATCTGTCTGTTTATATCTCACACTGATATGCATTTTATAATAATAATATATTATAATATATATAAATTTGTTTTAAGCCTCGAAGGCATATATACTACCTTAATATCATGGACTTGATAAACTTATAACTACTATAATAGCGCTTATATGTGTATAATATACATTACACGCGAGCCCCAAGAGGTATTTTTCCATCATGCAACAATCATCTCGCCGTGATTTTTCTCGGATTTTCACTCTTGTTCGGTGATAATAATTAGCGACAATAGTCTTCCGCATGCATACAACTTGTTTATACTGTTGTTATGGCATAGATATATAATAAACATAATACATTGTACACAGTAAGTACCTATACGACCAATAATAATACATATTACCCGGCACATATGCTGTAACACACGCGATAGTGGACTGAAAGCGGTTTATATTTTTTACTACGTTTGTGTATATAATATATATATATATATATATATAAGATACCTGTGTACCTAATAATATGTATAATATGACGTCTGTGTATATACCTGCAACCTGCGTGTACCTATTTATATCGAAACAAGAAACAATATAATAATGATTTAACTACATGTAGAGGAAAAATTTGTTTCGGACGTCAAAAAAATAAAGAAAAAAATAATATACCGCCGTTTTAACGGGACTTGAGCAGAGGTGAGAGGAATAAAATACACTATGATGAGGACGTGTACACATAATACATACAATACCACTCGATGACACGTGAGGAGAGTGAGAGAGTAAAAGAGAGAGAGAGAGAGAGAGAAGACGGAAAAAGCTAACCGAAAAACGCGTGAAATTGGATTTCGCCTCGACGAACACGCACAAGCAACTCGTGCAGCAGCCGTGTGTGTGCACAAAATATCATTATCGACGATTACGTGTGTATATTATATTATAATTATATGTATTTAAAATTAATATAAATATCATAATATAGGTATTGATTTATAGTGCTGGATAAACCCGTATTCCMGGTCGTAATATAGTTTCGTCCCAGAGAATAATTAAAACAGAGGACGAGTAGGAGCTTGTGATGGAGGGGGTTGCAGCAGTGAATTCACGCAGAGATCGTGTCGATGGTTCGTTTGCTGCAGTGTACGATCTACTGAAAGAAAAATATATTCAAACGCAAAGGCGTTGGGAAACTAATAGTAATATTATTGCGGCACGACGGTGGCGGCTGCGATTGCAGGTCAGCGCGTGACCGCGGTCGGAACAATAATAAAAGCTTCGGCTCGCGGGCTGCATCTGTGGCGCGCGCTAAAGACACGATGGCTATGGAACAACACTCCATACAAAGCACACGTATATGATATATGACTGTTACTGTATTATTGTACGTACAATATAATATAATGTGGAAACGTCGCCTCGCACATTAATCACAACGACCGCGGACGCACAAAAGACGGACTCGTGTCAAACGATTTTTATAGGTACCTGACGTCGCGAATGCATAAC